CAGTAATGGCCTGGGGCACCATTGGAGGCTGTGTTGTATGACCTTCCCACATTTTGTTGATTGCCCTATGGTTCTTAAAGAGATAGGTTTTATTTAGGTTCCAAAGAACATAATCCCAAATGCTGTATTTCAAAAGAGGTTAGTTTTATAAATTCTGAACAGTCAATTAAGCTCCATAATTGGGATGATTTTAATGTCAGGCTGATAGTGGTAACTGTTTTCTTGGTGGCAGTGTGTTATAATAGATTATGTTTTTATAAATTAAAATTAATCTCCCTGGTTTTCTTTTTTCTATTTCTTGTGGGAGCTCCAAAATTAAGCAATCCAGATGTGAAAACACTTGCTTTTGAGCTAGGTGCAGAGGGATTTTGTTTGTTGGTAGTCAGATGCTAACCATGGGGAAGTCCGGAACTGAGAATTTTTTTTTTCCCTTTTTCTGCCTTGAATGAAAAGTCCAAGTGCAGGTCTTCAATCCCAACTCAGTTTGATTTCTACCTTTTGGCCCATTACAATCCTAAAGATCATCCTATCCCAAACCTTACAAACTATGATTCTGCAGAATCAATACATTTTCTTAAAAAGTCATCCTCCAGAACCCTTTGCTGCTTCTTTTTTTTTTGGCAATATTTTAATATTCCTTTCCTAGATAGATATTAAATTAAATAAGAGAAGTTTGCTGCTAGTTCAACCAAATGGTGGCACAGACAGAAGTACTTAAGACCATAGAATGTTAGAGATGGAAGACTTTTGGAATCATGTGGTCCAATCTTCTCAATTTGAGAGAACAGAGAGGTCTAGACAAGGGATGTGAATTTTTCAGTAGAGTCTCCAAGTGCACACATAGTAACATATCATTTTAACCAAGTACATATATATATATGCCATGTTTGGACCCCTAGGTGGTACAGTGGATGGAGTGTTGGGCCTGGAGTCAGGAAGACCTGGGTTCAGATTTGACCTCAGACACTTTACTGGTTCTATGATCCTATGCAAGTCATTTAACCCTGTTTGCCTCAGTTTCCTCATCTGAAGAAGGAAATGGCAAACCACTTCAGTATCTTTGCCAAGAAAACCCCAAAGGGGGTCGCAAAGAGTCAGACATAGCTGAAAACTTACTAAACAACAACAAATACGCCATGTTTGCCTCTATAGGAACATCTCATTTCAGTTGTAGATCAACAAGTCACTTAACCTCTTTGACTTAAGTTCACTTATTTTTAAAATATAGATAATGGTCCTTGTACTGCCTATCCTCCAGCATCATCCTTTGAATATTATCTAAATGGGAGTAACTGTTGTTTTAACTTGTTATACTCAGGGCTGGTTACTATGGCATTGAAGGCAGGTGGATGGAACCAGTTTTCTCTTGAATAATAATAGGTGGCATTTGTATAACCTCTAAAGTTCTTTGCATATCCAACAACAATAATACTTTGGGGCCCAAGGGACGGGGCACTCATCCCAGACTAAGGGAGCCCTGTGCTCTGCGTCCATGGATGTGATCCAGTCTGGATAAAATCATGAGGGAGCCTGGCTTCTAATGAGAGGAGCTAGTCCTCCCTTTCCCATGCTCGATTCATTATATCTTCTGCTTCTGGGGAAAACCTAGCTTAGGTTTAAAGCCTAGGTTTTTGCTTTTGTGGAGGGTTTGCAGAGAGTGGAAAATAGATATTGATACAGTATGGATCAGGTATGGGACAGATATTAATTTCCTTTAACAAAAGAAACAATAAACCAAGAATAATTCATAAGCACAAATTTGACAGAAACAAATTTAAACAGTAATAATAACTTATGTTACACTCTTCCAGGAGGTTGATACTTAAACCTCATTTTGCAGGACTGATGGGTAGGCATTTTATATTTCTCCTGAACTATGCACTCTCTTCTTATGTGGTCTGTCTTCTGGCAAATCAGGCCAGGGCTTGGTCGCATCCTCTTATTGTTTGACTTTAGAACATTTAGTCAACAAACATTTATTAAGCACTTACAGTGTGCCAGGTAATACACTAAGCACTACAGAGGCAAAATAAAGCAAAAATACAACCCTTACACCCTCGAGGATCTCTCTTTTGAATGAGTCAGACAACATGTGAATAACTGTGTACATAACAAAATATATACGGTGTAAATACAAATGTTGGTTCCACAGTCTGTGGATATAGAATACTGCCAGGTAAAAAAGAAGCCATTTTAGAACACAGAAATTAAGCCCATTTTCATATTTTTAAAAAAATCCTATCCTTAATGTGTTTTTGAAAGGCAGATGATGAGGCAGTTCATATAGTGGTAGGCCTGCAATCAGGAAGACCTGAGTTCATATCTGACCCCAGATACTTAATAGCTTTGTGATGCTGGGCAAGTCACTCAACCTTGTTTGCCTCAGTTTTCTCATCTGTAAAATGAGTATTATAATAATAGCAACTGTCTTATAGGAGTATTATGAGAATCAAATGAAATAATCTTTGTAAAACATGTTTAGCACAGTGCCTAGCATATAGTAGGTACTTTATAAATGCTTATCCCCTTCTCATCTCCTTTTTATATATAATTTCATTAAAACATTAGAAAAAAAATCTCTACTATTAAAGATTATTCATGGTACACCTTTTCACATCATGAGGACCGTCAAAGTCCAGCAGAGTAGCTTGAGAAATAATAGTGTATTAGAGCATTTGTCTAGCAGTCAGAACACATGAGTTCCAATTATGGCCCTGCTGCTAACCAGTTCTGTCACCTTGTCAAGCAGCATCACTTCTCCAAGTCTCAGTTCCTTGTATGTAAAATGGGAAGGCTGAACTGGATGGGTCCTCACCGTCCTTTCCAGCTTCAGAATGATATGCTCTTGAGTCAGTCAGAATAAGTCAGATCCCTTTTCCATCTGACAGTCCTTCACAGATATATGAAGGCCACTATCCCAGGATATATATTTATTAGGGGGAACTTGAATATCATTGGGTTATGATAAAGTATTGAGTGCTATGAAGTTTACACCCACAGAGATTTCTTCTAACCATGGGGAAGCTGGAAACTCACAAACATGGTTCATTGTGGTCCTTGAATAGATCCCAGCAGTAGAGCACTCCGTATGCACTAAAAAAGGTGTTTATATATACAGACAGAGATCATAGGCTCAAAAGATTTCGAGTTGGAAGAAACCTCAGGAGATTATCTAGTACAATTCCCAATTTTACAGAGATAGAAACTGAAGCCCAGAGAAATAACTTGTCTTAATCATTGTTTGTTCATTCCAAGCAATGATTAGTAGAACTAAGACTTCAAATCCAGGTCCTCTGACTCCAAATTTAGTGAGATGTATAATATAAGTAGATTTAAAAACTATGAATGTTTTTGAAAGGTCCCTAAATGCATATAAAAGTAGCATTCATGAATGAAATTCTTAATATGAAAGGCTTGAGTGAATGAAGAAATGAGAAAAAAGCTATTCATTTTACATTCTCCCACTCCCCCCCACCTTCTCACACCAGTGATATTTCATATTATGTTGTTTTCCTAAAGCTCTCAATTCCAGCACTAAATATCTTACTACCAATGTTGCAAATGTACTTGCCTCAAGCTATAATCATAAACAGCTAAAGAAAGAATGAAGCAGCAGAGGCTGTGTTCCTGTACTAAGTTCTCACCTTTTCTTTAGCCTTATTTGTTTAAATCTGGGAATGTACCTTTCCTGCTTTCATGGTTTTAAATTTTAATAGTTGTTTTTAACAAGAATTTAAATTGAGCTGGGGACAAAAAAAAAAACTCTTGGCATCCAAGAGAACCCTGCTTCTGCCCCCTCCTTTCTTAGATTTTATGTTTCTGCTGTTTTGTCAGTACATGTTTTTCTCTAATCCTCAGTGAAAGAGCCTTTTGGCTTCACTTTGGGAACAAGCTGGAGGACTGGGTAGCTAAAATACTAGCTTTGTGGATCTAGAAGGGGGAGATCAGCTAGCATCATACCCTCTCATTAATCATGTGAAACTGAGGCTCAGAGGAAGAATGATCAGTCAGTCAATAAACATTTATTAAGTGCCTACTATGTGCCAGGGACTGTGTTAAGCTGGGGACTCAAAAAGAGGCAAGGGATAAAAGAGTCAATGACTTAACCCAGTGAGTTAGTGTTAATCTGATCTAGAAAACAAGTGTTCTAACTCCTAGTCCAATGCTGTTTTCACTTTACAGTACTAACTCTCAGTCTCTTGGACTAGAGAACATTCTGGAACTTCACAGTAAAAACATACTCTTCAGGAGCAGTTAGCAGAAGGCATGGCCCTGAAAGGTGGCTTTCAGGAATATGAGCTTGGCTCATTTGTGGAGAGAGTTATTGCCAAAGCCTCCCACCTCCTCGCTGGCTCCACCAACCAGCACACAATTCCTCCCTCTTCTCCCTCCCCCACGCAAAAGAGGAAAGGTATTATCATGTAAGATGGAAGTTATCATCCAGTATAAAATCTTAAGCTTTGGCCCTACTAATGGGAGTCAGGGCTGAAGAGGGAAAGTGCAGTGTAACCTGGGAGATCAAATCAGCAATACCATATTAATGTAAAGATTAACTGCACGCAGCCAGCTCTTGAGGAAGAACTGCCTCTTTAAATTACACTGACTATAGAAATACCAAGACAATCTGGGAGGCTTTTTTAAGCCATTAGTCCTCAGAGTGGTTAGTGGAAGCTTTGTTATTCAGGATTTCTGGGGACTAGGAGGAGTTTGTATATGAATAAAAGAAGGTTTTAAATGTCACTTTTATTCAATATGAATTTGCCATAAATTTATATAAATTAATGGAATTATATATAGCCCTAATTTCTCCATGGTGCTCTGTAACTAAAATTACAGTTCTATTTTTAAAATATTGTATTGATACCTTTTTTAAATGACTGTCTTTTCCTAATACTACCCCATCAACAGAACCCTCTCTTGTAACAAAGAAGCAGATTTAAGCAAAACAAATCAACATGTTCACCATATCTGGCAGCATATGCTTTATTTCTTACTTGTAGCCTCTGCTGAGAAGAGGGAGGGAGGTTTCATAATCAGTCCCCTGGAGCCGAAATTGATCACTTTCATTGATCTGAGTTCTGATGTCTTCTAGCATCATTTTCCTTTACATCATTGTGGTCACTGTTTATAGAACATGACATGAGTGAAGTTGTGAATTATGTTTCTTTTTTCTATCCTGTAGTACTTTCGAGACATTTTTAAACGACCATTTTTTTTTCTATCAGAGGCTAATGTTCATATGTTTTTTTTTCCCATTTGAACATAATGATAATAGCTGGCACTTATTTATATAGCATGTTTAAGTCTGTGAAGCATTTTGCATTTATCTGATCCTTAGAACAACCCTGGGTGAGAAGTGCTATTATGAACCACATTTTACAGACAAGGAAACTCAGGCTGAAAGGCCTGGGAATCACACAGCTGAGAAATGTCTGAAGCTTGATTTGAACTCAGGGCTTTACCACTCAAGTCTAGTGCTCTATCCACTGTGTAACTTGGCTGTCCAAAATTAGATTAATATAATAGGACACTGGACTGGAAGCTAGTACTGATTCTGCCATTAACCAGGCTTGAGTCCATGGGAGAAGCACTAGATTTCAGTTTCCTTAAGAGAGTAGAACTAAATTTTGATTCTATAAACCACAATAGAGTAGGTGGGGTTGTGGGAAGAACATTCAGGAGTGTGACAGTAAGTGACTCTGCTGTCCAGTTACATGGATACTAATGGTCTCCTGGACTGCTTTTGGTTATTTTGGGTTTGTGGGTGGTTAGGGTGGAGAGTTTGGGACAAATATAATCTATGGACAGATCCACATTCTGCATGTATTGCCTTTGGACACCTGAGTGTCTGGGGATTTTTTTCCCCTCACTTTCAGAAGAATGCACACTATTTGGAACCAGTGTTTGTTCTAGAAGCACTTGGGATGATATGGAATGAAAGAGACCTTGAGAGGTCATCTGTCTACTCCTCTGCCTTGAAAGTCAACTGGTCACTCCTGTCTAAGCAGTGAGGATCCAACTAGCTTCACCTTGAATCTTAACTACCTCAGGAGAAAGAATCACATTTTCCTCTTCTTGTTTGGGCTTTTTACGCCCTTTAACAACCAGTCAATAAACATTTATTAAGTACCTACTGTGTGCCAGGCACTGTGCTCAGTGCTGTGGACTCAAAAAGAGGCAAAGTTTCTTATTTTCAAGGAGCTCACAATCTAATAGAGGCATTCACAATACTGATCTTGAAAGCTCCTGCAACCTTGTTGTTTCCTTTCACAAAACCTGCTATTCTTGTATTGGTCTTGAGGACTTGGGGGCCAGACTCAGAAAGAAAATTTGCCTTCCATTTTTTATAGAACAGCAAACCATTATAAAGCTTGCACCTTTATAAAATGAAGAGATAGGGGAGAAAATCAAGCTCAAGTAGTAGATTTGGCAAGTACCAAGCAAACATTAAACACTCAAGGAAGAAAATTGTAAAGTCCCACCCACAGAAAATTTTGACTTATAAAATCATTCTCAAAATATAGTGCCTACAAACACATGATATACACACACATATACATATACACATGTATATACATTAAATGTGTGTAAACACACACACACATTTCGTGTATTTTTAGGCATGATATTTTTGTATTGTGTGTGTATAGTGTATGTGTATATATAGATATATAGAGATATACACATACATTTACACACAAAATACATACATATGTCAATTGCTTCTGTAACTTTATATAACGGAGTGCTACATTTAAGCATTAAAAAGAAATGTGCTTGCTCAATTTTTCTCCTTTTTTCTTACTCAAGTGTTGTAATTATCTCTACATTACCTTGGTTAATAAATAGGTATTATCCAGGACCACTAGATCTCTTTAATAGGCAGGCTGCCTTTTTGACAAGAGGAACCGAGCCATTCATCAAAGCATAGATTGGCAGGGACTGTGTGCTTCCTTTCCACAGGGACTCCTTGGCATCTCCAAATGTCTATTCCAGGCAGACTTGAATTTTCAGGGCTTTCCTTTCTCTTCCCCAAACTTCCTCCCCCACAATAAGGATGAGCCAAAACTGATGTGTTGAGTTCCTGGTAATCACAAAACCGGGATGTTACTTCAAAACAACTTGCCGTAAGCTATTCATTTGGTATTCAGTAGCAAGTTACTACTGCTGCTGCATAACATTTTCTTTTCCTTTGCAGAATTGTATAACTACTATATGACTCTTTTGCCATTCAGTACCCAAGCCAGAGTTTTTAAAAGAAAAAAAAACTTAGGATTTGGATTTGTAAAGGTCCTTGCAAACCTTAAAATACTATATGAATCTTAGATTTTATTATTATCATTATTATTTCTAAATTACTGTAAAGTTAAAAGCAGTGAGTTCCACAGACTCTGGCTCTTCGAAGATAAGGTTGCTTTTTTTTTTCCTTTATAGTAAATTATGACCCATGTTAATAAAGTGCAAAACTACAATAACATATAATGTGTATTTGTGTTCTCTAGAATAAGAAAGAGTACTTGGACATCATTCACACATACATGGAAGTCCATGCAACAGTCTATGGGTCTAGCACTAACCACATGCCCAGCTACGTGAAGAATCATGGAATCCTCAGTGGACGAGATTTACAGTTTCTTCTCAGAGAAACCAAGGTAAGCCAGCCTTTTGTTAAGAGCTTATCCAATGGCCATATTTACAAATTTGTTTCTAATTATTCTTGAATTTGGGGTCAGGCCTTCTGTGTGCTGTGGAAAGCCTCTAGAATGTTATTTCTAGGGAGTGGCTTTCCGTGAGAGCTCAAGAGGTTTATAGATCACAATTACATCCATTATGATGAAGCCTTTAGTTGTAAGGAAGAGGTCACTGAGCTATCTATCCCCTTGCCACTCAAGGCTATTTCTCCTTCTGCCTCCTAACTCATGATTAGCAAGTGTTTATTGGATGTTACAAATGTTGTAGAAGTTTAGAAGAGGGAAAAGATCAATTTGGACTGGAACAATCAAGAAGGTCTTCCTGGGGGATCCTCGAACTGAGCCATAAAGGATATATAGTATGTCAGTATCAACAAAGAAGAGGAGAGGGCATTTTAGGTAGGGAGGATAATGTGCATAAATTACAAAATCACCAATTTTGAGAATTGAAAGAGAGCTCAGCTGTCATTTACTTCAACCTAAAGACTAAAGGAACACCCCTTATAATTAATATGCCCGATAATTGGTTGTACAGTTGCTTCTTAAAGATCTCCAAGAAGGGGGGGAACTCATGATTGGGAAGTTCTTCCTGACAGTAAGCCTACATTTGCCTCTTGACAGCTTTCATCTGTTTCTCCTGGTTCTGCCCTCATTGGCCAGATCTAATCCCTCCTCCACATCAGCCTTTCAGATCCTTGCATACAGTCATCTTGTCCCCCTCATTCATTCTTTTCTCCAGGCTTAATATGACCATTTCCTTCAACCAATCCTACTCTCTCATGAACTCAGTGCCCTTTACCATCCTAGTTGCTCTCCTCTTGACACACCAGCTTTTGAATGTCCTTCTGACACCCAGGTCCCAGAACTTAAAATGGAAATGGATCTTTTTGAGGGGGAAGGGAGCAGGGAGGAACAGGAAAAGTGACAATTGAAGACACATACCACTGATCCAGAGTGGAGACTTTGTGTTGGGACGTAATAGGATGTGTAGGGGAGGCCAGATTATAAAGGGCCTTGAATGCCAGGCAGAGGTATTTGAATGTTATCCATTAGGCAACAGGGAATCGTTAGAAGTTTTTGAGCAGGGAAGTAATAGCAGGAAGTAATAAATTTTTGATAAATTTGTGAGATGCTCACTACCAGTCTAAGTGATAGCCAATATTGCACATTCTTCCCATCTCCTGAGTTGAGGTGACTTCTAGGAAGCTTTTGGTTTAGCACTGATTGACAAGTAGTTTATTCGATTAGCTTTTGCTCAGCTGTTGTCAAGTCCTTTGAGTGCTGAAAAATGGCAAAACTGATTGTTGTTCATAACTAAGGGGTGCAAGGGGATGTTAAAGGTTCCTTTTGCACCCCAACCAGCTTGTTCTATGTATTGTATAGGGCATTGAAATAAAGTATCTCATAAATATATTCTCAGATCATCACATTTAGCTGCAGAGAATAAATATGTCACAGTCAACTAATGAGAGAAAACTTAAGAGATTTTTAAGGCATTATGGTCCAGGAGAAAAAAAGCACATACCTTGGAGGCAGAAGAATGATGCTCAAATCTGGCTTTATCATTCATTGTTTGTGTGACCTCAGGTGAATCAGTTAATCTCCCTGGGATGCAATTTCTTCATCTGTAAAACGAATGGGATTTTGCTTGTTGGCTTCTGAGGCATATTTCAATTTTAGATCTGTCTTTCTGTGATTCTGTGGCCCAAAGCCAAATGGGCATTGTCATTTATCTTCTTAACAAGATGTTGTTATACATGTCCATATTCTAGGGAGAGAGATGCTCAAATTGAGGAGAGGGTGCATTACCCCTGAATTACCCCGTTTTCATATACCTATGAGGAGACTGAGGCTCAGAGAGAAGTGATTCGTCTAAGTGATATGATAATTGGTAGAGTCAGGACTCCAACCCAACTATTTTGACTCCGTGCCCTGTGTAGTGATATTGTTGTTATTGGTTTCCTAGTCAAGCTTCAGTTTTTCCTTCTGTGAAAGGGAGATAATTTCCCCCTTTCACATATCACGAATGAAATAAAGGCTGAGGAGTTCTTTAGGTCCTTGGACAAGGACAGATTATATTCTCAAAGTTATTCTCATTAACACTTTGTTATATAATTTTTCAGTCTGGCAAATATTCAAATAGTTTGCAAAGCCCAGAGAAATCTCGTGCTATCATTTTTGCCACTTGCTTCTAGCAGGTACCCCAGGGCAGAGAAGGATACAATCTGACCTGGGCTGAAATCCACTGGATGAACAAAAAGTCCCTGCCCTTTGGTGGCAATGCTATTTTTGCCATTTGCTTTGCTTTTCTATTTTTTCCCCACATGGCATGTTAGAAAAAGCTCTTCCCCTTTAAAATGACATTTGGGAGTGTGGTTGTTTGGTAGTGTGTCATTACTGTCGTTCACACCTCTATTAACTTCATGAATGTCTTATTCAGCCTCGCACATTTAAAAAGAATACTCACCCACCACCTCTGGCATCTATTTCCCATCACTTGGTGGGGAATGGGCCAAAATAGAGGCCATCCAAAGCCCAGGACAGGACAACAGAAGTACCAAGAGAGATACAAGTATTGTGCCAGGACACTTTTGACACAGAGGTGTGGCCAACAGAGCTGAATCATGAGAATCAGGTAGTATTTGTTCTAGGAAACCAAACACCTTTGGTTTCTAGACTGGTTCAATTACGTATTGCTTCTTGATCTTGCTAGAGTATGTCCAAATACCGTAAGTGGAATTATGGCTGAATCACTTAGTCACTGTGAAGGAAATCAGCCAGTGTATAGCTGAGGTGATTTTTTTGCACAAGATGCTAGCAATAGCTGAAATGAATGAATCTTGAGTTTTGAAATAATGACACTAAAGACCAGTGGAGCTTTGCATCTACGACCCATTCTGCCCATAACTCCTTCCTCTGTGTCTCCAGGCAATTTAAAAGCAATTTATTCTGATCCACGTTAGAGGTGGGGAACTGGAGATACAGAAAAGCAAATGCTACAGGAATGAATGGAATCCCTCACTCTTTTCAGCTCCTCATTATTTCAAAAGGAAGTGAATCTGCTGCTTCTCAAGAGGGTTGGAGCCACATAGAAATGATTGGTGCTTAATCAGCTTCTGATTCATTGTTTTTCATGATGAACCATCTTTCTGCATTTCTGAACCAAGTGCAGGAAACCCTCCCTTCAGCAGAAATCAGTACCCAGAACGCCATTAGCCAATGGGTGTGTCATTAGCAACTATCAGGTTGCAAGTCAGGACAAAAGGTCTTTAGTGATATGTTAAATCTGAACCAAAAGAGTTGGGATGTTTAGTGACTCTGAAGGACAATCTTGACAGAGAAAAGAATTTTGATGATTTAATTGCTTCTCAGATATCTACAAAAGGGTAATTCCTAGCACTAAAGTCCAGTAGTACAATTCAAGCTAGCAAACCAAGATTCACTAGGATGGCCTTGGAAAACATGTCCCCTCATTCCTCCTTGTTTTCCAATACAAGTGTATCTTCCTGTTAATGTATCTAGCCATAGTCCCTTCCTTTCCATTTCCCTCTCCCCATCCTTGGTGTTACCTTGGTATGATCACCAACCCTTCTTAGAAATTAACTAGGAGAGTGGTATCCCACACTGGAATCCAGCAAACCAAGGAAGAATACTGGAAGAAGAAGAAATAAAAATGCCTATAGAAAAATGAAAGGAAAAGGAAACAAGCATTTATTAAGTGCTTATAAGTGCCAGGCACTGTGTTGAGCGCTTTACAGATATCTGGTTTATGAAACCACAAAAGCTAGTTTCTGCATCCTAAAATTGTAAGTTGTAAAGGAGTGCTGGACCATGCTCTACAGTTGCTCTGTCAGGGAAAGATGTCTTCCTGGGCATTTCCCTCTTCTTTCTGCATGACACTTAATTGTTTGTTTTCCATACGAAAATAGCTCCCTCTATGACTAGAGCAGGTCAAAGAGATGCAGTTTGATAATCAATTATAGCTCAGTAGGATCTCATGGGCCACCTGTTAGCTTAGAAGCCAAGATCTTGGCCCCTAGTTCAGCAGTTTATAACATTTTTTTTTTGTCATGGACCATTTTGGCAGTCCAGTGAAGCCTATGGAGGCCTCCTCAGCATATCTTTAAAAGCATAAATTAAAATACGTAGGCTTACAAAGAAAACTAATTATATGGAAATACAGTTTATGTTTATATATATTATATATATATATACTTGTATGTATATATATGTGTGTACATATGTACATATATGTGTGCGCGCGCACGCACACACACACACACAGACACACACACACACACACACACACACACACACACACACATGGTAAAGAACCCCAGGTTAAGAAATCTCGCTCCTAGTGCCTTCAGGAACTGTTCTTCATCAAACTAGATCCATGAGAGAGGAGGGTCATGATGGCATGAATCCAAAAGCTATTTAATCAGTATCTACTTTGTGCAAGGCACTCTGATTTGCCCTGAGGAAAAAACAAACATAATTAAGAATTAAGACTTGGTCTCTTACATTATAGAACTTATTCTATGTAAGTCTATATTTATTCTGTATCCACATTTATATACTTGTCTTTTCCCCTAAAATGTCAGTTCTTTGTGAATAAGGATTGTTTCATTTATTGAATTTCTATCCTCAACACCTAACACAGTGCCTGGTACAAAGCAGGCAATTTGTGTTTCTTCATTGAGTGATTGATCTAGCAGGGGTGCTATGTCATACTCACAAATATGCAATATAACATAATAATGCTGCAATTTTGTAGCATATGTACAATAGCAATGCAGTAGTTCTAATGCAGAATAGATGGTAGGGGTATAAGGGAATGATAGGCAAATACTAGGCCTGTGGAAGGAAAGATCATTTTACACTAAGGGATCAAGGAAGCTGTTATGGAAGAAGCAGCATTTGAGGTGGGTCATAAAAGATGAGTTCTAATTCAAAAAGTAG